CCTGGTCCGTCCCTCGTCGCCTCCGCCTCAACCTCTTCCTCGTCCTCGTCCTCGTCTTCCTCTTCCTGCCCTTTTCCCCCCGCTCCTCCTCCTGCGCCTCCTCCTTCACGGCGTCAGACGAGACGAGCTGTGCGGATGCCCGGGCCGCGCGGAAGCGCGGCGATCAATGAGGGTTCCCAAGCTTCTGAGAATCGGCCAATCCTCAATTCTGGAGGCTTCGCATGCGCCACTGCGTGTGTCGTCCGCTGGCACGTGCATGCGCCACTGCGTGTGTCGTCCGCTGGAGTCTGCGGCAATCTCGCGCCAATTATCTTCGTACCGCGCCCCAGACGTTGACCCGCTCCATGTCCCTCGCCTTGGAGCCGCGAACCAAAAAAATAACCCCACCAGGAGATCGGCCCGCGGCCCGGACCTTTCGACTCGGCGCCTGCGCTTCCGCTCGCGCCCGCGAGAAAAAAGTAACCCCACCAGCCCCGACTCGCCGCTGGCGCTCTCGCCTGCGGCCGCGACCAAAAAAAGTAACCCCACCAGCCCATCCAGAAACGATGCCCAGAGGAATTCCCTCGATCAGGGAAGTGGGCAGCAAACCTTGGGTGCCTCGGAAAGTTTCTTGGTGCCTCTTGGGGGTCTCTTGGGAGCCTCTTGGGCGCCTGTTGAGGCCTCCTGGAGCCTCCTGGGCGCCTCTCGGGGCCCCCGGGACTCTCTTGAGCCTCTCTTGGTGCCCTCTTGGGCCATCGCGGAGCCATCTTGAGGCCTCGGATGACCATCGAAAGCGAGCAGGCGAGACAGCCAACAACAAATTTACTGTCCCAAGGTTTTGGAAAGATTTTAACCTCTTCGGGGCCTCCTGGGGGAGCTCTTTTGCCACTTGGAGCCGTCTTAGAGCGGTCTTGGGGCCTCTTGGAGCATCGTGTGAGCCATATTGAGGCATCTTGAGCCATCTTGGATGTCACCCTGGGCTCCCCCATGCGCTCTTGGAGTCATCTTAAACAGTGCCCCCCCAGGAGGCCAACATGTGGCCAAAACTTTAGTAAACTCAATGGTTTTGGCATTCTCGCCGAGGCCTCGTGGAGCGTCTTGGGTGCCTTTGGGGTGCCTCTTGGGGCCTCTTGGGGGTCTTTTGGGAGCCTCTTGGGGGATCCTAGGGGCCTCTTGGGGCCTCCTGGCCACATCGTGGTGCACCCTTGGGAGCCTTGGGGGCGCTCTTGGGGCCATCTCGGAGAAGATCGACAAAAGAAGGGGGTTCCTTAATTACGGTCTCCCCTCCGGGAGGCCAAACTGAAGTCAAAATCTTAATAACACCAGTGATGTTGGCTTCCTTGCCGAAGCCGTTTTGGACGCTCCAACTACCCGCGGACCCCCCGCTCAGGTCCAGGGGAGGGGGTGGGGGGAGGGGGTCAAGACCCCTCCCCGCCCGCAAGCCGTCCCGTTCACTCCCACCCGCCCTCCCAACACATACGTAGCACCCGAGTCTGGCCCGAGCCGCAGCATATTCAGCAGTCGTCTTTGGATGGGCAGCTACTGGGGGCCAATCCGCCGCCCGCCGCCGCCGCCGCCTCCGCCGCCGCCGCAGCCGCCGCCGCCGCCGCCGCTGCCTGCCGCCGCCGCCGCCGCGCCGCCGCGCCGCCGCCGCGCCGCCGCTGCCAAACCGCCGCCGCCGCCGCCGCTGCCCGCCACCGCCACCGCCGCCGCCGCCGCCGCCGCCGCCGCCGCCGCCGCCCCCGCCGCCGCCGCCGCCGCCGCCGCAGCCGCCGCAGCCGCCGCCACCGCCGCCGCAGCCGCCGCACCCGCCGCCGCCGCCGCCAAATGTACTCTGTATTGTTTTGTTGACAGGGATGGTGGGGGGGGGGCCGCATCGGGTTGGCTGCGCATGTTCCGAATTTGGAGGCAGAGGGTGTTTTGTATTGTTTTTGTATAAAGGGATGGTGGGGGGGTGTCGTCATGGTCCCTGGTTGGCCTCCAGTCGCCTGGGGGAGGGGGTGTTTATTAATAGGGAACAGTGATAAACCCCTTCCCGAAGGGGAAGAAGGGGGGTGGAAGAGGAAACTCCCTAAACCACCTACACCCTAAGAGGCTGGTGGGATTCCCCCCCGTGGGGTAAAACAATAGGCGTTCAAGGGTGTGGTATCAGCCCAAGACTGTCCCGGGAGAGCCTCTTGGATCGTCTTGAGGCAGTCCTTTGGGTCTTGCGGCCATCGATGACCATATTCGAACACTCCTGGGCAGTCGCGGGCTCTCTGGGGGCCCTCTTTGGATATTTGCGGCTGCTATTCAATCGTGTTATACCGCACCCCCTCCCGCCAGGTCACGCTTACTTGTAAGCGCTGCCCCCTGCAAACAGTGCTTGGGCGCCCGAGATGCTTTCCTGCGAAATATTTCGGGGTCGGCGGCTGTGGCGCAAGCCTGTAGAATCACAAACATGGATTACAGTCAGAGCGCACAAGAAGGATGCGCGGTAACGATGCAAGGGCCTTGGAGGGCCACATTTGTGTTTCCGAGCGGGGCTGGCCAACGAAAGCCGCCAAGGATGGACCAAGGGGCAATGACGCAAGGGCAGCACTGGAAAATGGCTCACCCGTGCTCTGCAACTTGACTATAACGACGGCCCCCGCCTCCGTGCAACGCCGGCGCGCTCCGTCGCCAAATCGGGCGGCACTGCCCTAGTGTCTCAGGGGTACCTCCTCTTCTTCCTCCTCCTCCTCCTCCTCCTCCTGCCCATCCTCCTCCTCCTCCTCCTCCTCCTCCTCCTCCTCCTCCTCCCTTTGTTCTGCCTCTTGGGCCTGCAACATTTCCTCCTCCTCCTCCTCCTCCTCCTCCTCCGCCTCCTCCTCCTCCTCCTCATCCTCATCCTCATCCTCATCCTCATCCTCATCCTCATCTCATCCTCATCCTCATCCTCATCCTCATCCTCATCCTCATCATCTCATCATCATCATCATCATCATCATCATCATCATCATCATCATCATCATCATCATCATCATCATCATCATCATCATCATCATCATCATTGTCATCATCATCATCATCGACAGCAGCATCCTCCTCCTCCTCCTCCTCCCCCTCCTCCTCCAACTCCTCCTACTCATCCTCCAACTCCTCCACATTCCCCTCCTCCTCCTCCTCCTCCTCCTCCTCCTCATCTTCCTCCTCGTCCTCCTCCTTCCCCGATATCGACGGATCTGGCGCCAACGCACCAGATCAACGGATGCTTGATCCATGTTACAATCGGACCTGGGCCAGAAGAGCGTCCCTCGAGAACACGAGACCACAGAGCATCCAAGGGCACCCTCCCCAGGATGCACAGGAGCATCCGACAAACCCGAAGAACACTAGGGTTCCCTCCCCGAACCGACCTCGATCTTATACCTCGGTCCGGCTGTAGCATGTGCCCGACACTGTGCGGACTGAATAGAGGTCTCCTAGATGGGTTCGGAATAAACGGGGTCGGAGGATCGCGCCGCATCGGCGATACATCGGCGATGCATCGCCTATGCATCGGCGATGTATCGATCATGCACTGGCGACGTGGGCGATCCATCCGCGACGGAGGCGTGGAGAAACACGGTCTCCACATCGAGCCGCATCGCCGAGCCCATCTACTCGGACCCCATCTAGGAGGCCTAGACTGACTTTCTCAACCTGATCCGGGAGCGCAGGCACACCTCGTTCGGGGGCGCGCAAACATGGATTAGCGATCCATGGATCGCCAAGTCCATGCATCGGGGGAGGTGCCCTGCCCAAGAGGCGGCCTGTGCCGCCCCGTTCGGCGGCGGAAATCTGGGATTTCCCATGGAAGCGGGACCCGTCGCTAATCCCTGAGCTCCGACGTCGCGACAAAAATTGCAGCATCGGGAAAGCCCGCGCCCAGAGCCCTGGACCCCATCTTTCTGCGTCCTCTTTCGAGCCGGATCGGTCCGTGAGGGCCCCGCGGGGCCCGAGAAGAGGCGAAAACGCCCGGCTCGAAGACGTGGAGTCGCCAAGCTCTCAGGGCTCCACGCCCCCTTGATTTAAGTCGGGCCTGTCCCTCTACTATTCAAAGATAGTTCAAAAAATAGTCTGGACACTATTTCTTTTTAAAGTAGGTTTGACCTTTTTGTATTATTTTTGAATATTTCTTATTTTTTGTCGAAAGTCCCCCTATAGGGGGACACGCCCGACTTCACCCTTGATCCGTGTCTGCGATCGCCCCGAGCTGTGCGGCCTGGCCTTCTCAACTTGATCCGCGGGAGCGCAGGGCACCCCTCCGTGGGGCTCCGGGAGGGGGGGGGCAGGCCGCCCGTGCCCCTCCGCCGCTCGCAGGAGGGCGCTCTGCAAAGGGCCCAGAGACACACGAATAAATACACATCAAGACCAACATCCCGCATATTTTCTGATATTTCGTCTTCCCCCACACACACACACTTCCCGTATTTTCCCATATTTCCCTGGGGATCGACGATTAATTGTGTCTGTGTTTTTTCCCCTCCGGAGCTTTACTTGAGACTCTGACCAATTCACTTGCATCCCCCTCCTCTTTCGGCGGCGAGCGAGGGGGGAAGCGAGAGGGAGAAGGCCTCCTCCAGCAGGCGTCGGGGCTTATCAGAAGCCCTCGCGCCTGCTGGGAAGTTTTCCGTGTTTTCGGGGAAGGCTTCGACAACTTCTCAGAGGGCTGGGGAACTTCCGAGCCTTCTGAGAAGGCCCGCCCCTTCTCACTTCCCCCCTCGCTCGCCGCCGACCCCCACCCCCCTCCCCCCCCCGCAAGTGAGTCCCGACTTGCGTGAAGTACAGGTTCCCGTTCGGACTTCGCCACTTGCCCCCCCCCCCCCCCACCCACCCCCCACCCGCCCCCCCTGCCCTCTGCATGCAAGCAACATTGCTGGAGTTGGATCGGGCATGTCCCCCTACAGGCGGATTTTCGATGAAAAACAAAACATACTCCCAAAATGCTCCAACAATATTCCAAACATTTTGTTGACAATGTTTGGACTGTTTTTGAATTTCCCCCCCGTGGAGGGACAGGCCCGACTGACTGCTGGAGTCTGCAAGCGAAGACGGCCTCCGAGAGCCCGCAGCAGCACGCCCGCTGTGCCGGAGCGTGGCCTCGGCCGCACGCGGGGCCCGGAGCTCCCCACTGTCTGCCAAGCGCTGCCACGACGGACGCACTTCCGTCGCTTTCTCGCCAGCGTGGAGTCCCGCAACGGTGCGGCGACGGGCCCCCTCAGGCCTCACCGCACGGCCCGTCAGCGCACGGCCTTGGGACCCCGGAGGCCCCAGTCGCCCGAGACGTCCTCGGAGAACGGCCCGAGTCCCAAAACCGTGCGGAGACCCCGAATCCCCACCGACTCACCACACGGTGTGGTCACCACCCCGTTTGGGGGCCCCCGAAACAACAGAGGCGCTACCCCGCCCGGGGCTGACAAACAACGACTTGGGATGTAACATCGGCCCTGGGGAAGGGGTCCAGTTCTCTGGGTGCCTACGTCCATTGGGAAAACATGCCGTCGGAGATCTGGGCAATGACCCTCTGCAAGGCGTGGCCTCTGGTGCGCGGTTTGCCGACAATGGGGTGCGATGCGACACTAGCGAGCTGCGCGCTTGAGCTCAAGCCCCCTCCCCGCGCCCACCAGGAAGCAGCGCACCCAAGAGTCACTCCAGCGAATGGTCACGCCTGCTTCTAGCCAACTCCCTCCGGGGTCTGGCCCTCTGGTCATAACTCGGGCCTCCGGCGGCCGTTCGGGACGATTCGGGCCCTCCCAGAAGGCTCTCGGCGAGACGCAGCTGTTGGAACGCATCCCGAAGTAAGAAACCCTCCAGGAACCGAGGAAACGACGGACACCGAACAGCCGCGCACCAACGGCCACTCTAGCGAAGGGCTACTCCTTCGATGATCCTCAGGGAGTGTATTCGCGCCAACGTGCGCTTGCCCACCGAAGCCCTTCGGTGCGACGCAGACGGTGTCATGAAGGCCGACACGGGCTGCGTGCTATCGACGAAGCTGGACGGGGTCACCGCACTCGTGCGCGACGATCAAAAACGGGGGCTACGCGCGATGACACAGCGACCTAGCTTACGCGGGCCGCCAGCGCGGCCCGCCACAGCAGAGACGAGGGCGCTCACGCGCACCCTTCGCCGAGCAGCTCGCGCGCAAATGTCGGCACAGACGACCTCATTTTTTCCGTCGTGGCGAGCACACGTCCTGAGGATCATCGGCTCTCACGTGTGGCCGACCCCTCCTGGAGTCCTCCAGGCCCTGACCCTGGCTCGGCTGCACCGCGGGCATCGCCCTGGACAAGAGGGACCTCGGGTGCGCGGCTCGGAGGGGGCGCGAGAAGACCAAACCTAAACGGGCAGGCCGCTGCTACAGCCGGGCTGCTGAAATAGGGGACGAGAAAGCAGCAACGGAGCCGCTCGCCACGCAGGCGCCCGCTTGCACGAGGAGGGCCAGGGGAAACAGCCACGGAAGGACTCAAGGAGCACCGAGCCCCTTCCGAACACTAACTGCTCCGTATGTCAGCGTATCGACTGTGTCACACCTCGTTCAGCGACTGTGGACCAGAACACGAACGACCCCACCCCACCTGCGGCCCCATGGGGCGTAGCGCATACCGGGAGACCCGAGATCTGGCGTGGGTTTTTGCGTGGTGCACGTCACGGCCCCCGCTGGGCCGTAGCGCAAAATGGAGGGCCGTAGGTGGGGCTGGCGTCGCTTGCTTTTTCGTCGAGACTGGGGGGTTCCACCGGGCCCGCGCCCGAGGCCCCTGTGGCGAAGGGCCACTCTTGCGTGCAGTTGAGCGCTGCGCGCCGCCCGGCGCCCGCCGCCGAGGGACCCCCCCCTGCGGGGCTCATCACGGCGCGCCCTGCACCACCAGCTTCCACAGGAGGGCCGCCACGATCGCGGCCAGGAGGGCCTGCACGTCCGGCGCCACCCCGCCGCGGGTGGGGGGGGGGGGGGCGGGATCAGTCAGCGTTCAATCGGGAAATCCGACCGACCTGACCCTTGCATTTTCACAGGATCGTGGAAGGTGAATCGGCAGCGTCGAGTCGGAATCCGTCCGCGTCGAATCGGGAAAATCGGTAGATCGGGCTGCATCGGCACGGCGTCGAGATCGAATCGAATCGGCTGCGCCACGATGCACAACAGTGCCATGCAAGCATCGGTCTGCGTCGGATCGACAAGGGACCGACACCGAATCGGATCGGGCCGGCTGGCGCCGATATCGAATCGGATCGATCGGATCGCAAGGGGCCCTGGGGGGCGAGAGGGGGCGCAGACGAAGAAGGCGAAGGGAGAACGGGCGCATACGACTCACCAGAAAGAAGGGTCGCGCATGAGTTCGGGCTGCAACACCCAAGAAGCAGAGCTCCAGCTGTCGGATCTGAGGCCAGAGACTGGGACAGGTGTCTTTGTAACAAAGCTGTTTTTACTTAGCTTCCATAGCTTGCAACGTACCCTCGGCGAACAATTGAGAACGGGACCCTGACTTCCGGCGGATTGGATTTTTCCATCCCAGCGCTTCTCTCTCATTTTGGCTTCCAGGGGCCAATTTCGGGCCTCACAGCAATCGCAACTCGGCCCCGACGAAAAACTGCCCCCAGGGAGGTGGCCGGGACCTCTAAAAGCGCGGCCGGAAAAAAAACACACATTGTCGCATGTCTACGAATCACACTGTTTGCAACACTAGGTAGAACGGTACATCAAGCACCGAATGGGACGCGCAACTGTTCACCCATGATGCAATACGCTGTGTATATACGCATGTACCTATTTGTTTTGAACGCATATTGCACAAAACCCTTTATGTAGTTCTATATGTACTATATATATTATATTCTATATAATATATATATATATATCTCCCAAACAGTGCTTGCAGCACTAGGGGTTCTTTCTTCGGTTAATTATTTCGGGCGGGACCCTTGCCGCAAAAACGACGCTGTGCCGCCCGTCGCCGCCAGTCGCCGTCGCCGCCCGTCGCCGCCATCCCCGCCCGTCGCCGCCGGTGCCGCGCGTCGCCGCCCGTCGCCGTCGCCGCATGGCATGCATTGCGCCGCATAAATTGCACTACAGAGGTTGCATCGCATACATTGCACCACATACGTTGCACCGCGTAGATTTCATCACGTAGGTTGCATCGCAAACGTTTCACCACGTAGATTGCGCCGCGTAGATTGTATTACACCGGTTGCATCGCGTACCATATACTGCGCCACGCATATATTGCATTACATGTGTTGCATCGCACACGCTCTCCTTCCTAAAAAGATAATAGGGTCCACCATCCTCCCGAGGTTATCCACTTGCCCCTCGCCATCCTTTGCAACACATGCTATGATTGCGCACCCGTTTATAACAAATCAGCAGGTGCCAAAACTCCCTTGCAACAGTGACACGAATTGCGCACGCGCGCGTCGTCGCGCGCGCAGGCCGAAATCTTTCAAAAACCAGAGGTTTCGTAAGGATTCCAAACTCGATTGTCAAAACAACATATAGACACACGGGTTTCGCAACATGGATGTTCAAAACAAGCTCGCGCTCTCGATCTGGCGAAACCTCAGAAAACCATGCGTTTTTTGTTTCTATTTAAATATACGATTGTATATATGCATCCCGCATTTTCGTGAACTGCTACCAAACGGGCTCCACGCGCGCAGGTCGAAATCGTTCGAGCGCCCTTGCGCGCGTGCTGTCGCAAGAATCATTTGCCAACACAAAACGAAGTGCACGCGCGCGCTTCGTCGCGCGTACATGCCGACATCAATGAAACACCTGACATTTCGCAAGGATGTCAAAGCCGAGTGCCCCGAAACCTCCTTACGATATTGCGCTTGCGCTCTTGCAAATTTTTAGGAACACCTTTTTGGTTTTTGTTCTCCAACAGTCGGGTGGATTTCTGCCACACGGGCCCTTCGCGCCGCATGCCAACATGACTCGAAAGAGCTTGCGCGCGTGCTGGGGGGGGGGGGACACGATCCATGTCAGATGGTGCGACGCGGGCCACTCTCGCGCCTCGGCCGCGCGCGCGTGTCGAACTCTTCCCAGCGCCTTCATCACCGACGCGAAGACGCCGTCATAGTCGCCGGCGCGATGAGCATCGGCGCCGCCACTAGCCGCGCCGACGTCGCTGTCAAAATCGCCACCAGCATCGCTACTATCATCATCGCCTCTACCGTCGTCGACGCTGCCATGGCACCGCGCCCGCCCAAGTCGCCGACTCGCACTGGAATGCCCGCTGGTCATGTGCCCAGCGGTCAGCGCCACCGCGGCCGCGTCGGTGGCGCCAAACTAGGTGGCCGTTGCGCGCGCGCATGCGCGGGCTGGCGCGGCCGCAGATGCACCAGCCAACGCCAAGCACTCATCGCAATCGCCGCCGCGTGTGTTTTGCAAACCGAATTGTGGGCGGGTGGGTGGGATGTTTGCAAGCGCGCGGGGTGTGTCAACCGGTGTGTAAAAATCAAATCTCTTTTCTAGAAAGAGGACTCCGCCCCCCAGGATGATCGCTCCACCTTTTCGCATTGCAATTTACACATGATTCTGGCCCACCGTCGATCGTAAATATGAATTCATATCATCCCAGGGGGACCAGCATCAACCCCCCGTCATCCTCTGCGACACACACTGCGATCGCTCACTAGTTTATCGAAAATCATCAGTTTCCAAAGATCCCTTGCAAATGAAACGAAGTGCACACGCTCGCGTCGTCGCGCGCGCATGCTGGAATCCTTCAAAAACCTTGGGTCCCGTAAGGATCCCCAAATCGAGCGACCAAGCAACATGTAAAAACACATGGTTTCGTCACGCGGATTTAACAACAAGCTTGCGCGCGCGCTCTTGCGAACTCTTGAGAAATCCATGCGCTGGTCAGAATTTTCAAAAAATGCGATCAAACGGGCTTTGCGCGCGCATGTCAACATCGTTCGAACGCCCTTGCGCGCGCGCTGTCGCGAGAGTCCTTTGCAGCAGACGGGGCGAAGTGCACGCGCGCGCGTCGTTGCGCGCGCGTGCCCAAATTCGTCGGAAACCTTTGTCTTCGTAGCGCATTCAAAACCGAGCGCCCCCAAGACATATAGAACGCACGTGGTTTCGCAACGTTCGCATTCACAATAGCGCCTTCTCGCGCGACAACAGCGCGTGTTTCAACAATTTCATGGGATTCTGCCAAGCGGGCCTCTGGCACCGCATGTCGAAATCATTCGCATGCTTTTTCCTCGCGCGCTGGAGGGGGGGCACGATCCGTGCCGCATAAAACCATGCGGGCCACTCTCGCGCGTAGGCCGCGCGCGCACGTCGAACTCTTTCCAGCGCCTTCATCGCCGACGCGAGGGCGCCGTCATCGTCGTCGGCGCGATCAGCATCCGAGCCGCCACTAGCCGCGCCGACGTCGCTGTCGGCATCGTCATCAGCATCGCTACCATCAACGCCGTGTCTACCGTTGTCGACGTTGCCGTGACACCGCGCCCGCCAGAGTCGCCGATTCGCGCTGAAGGGCCCGCTGGGATATGCCCAACGGCCAGCGCCACCGCGGCCGCGTCGGTGGCGCCAAACTAGCTGGCCGCCGCGGTCGCGTGCATGCGCGGGCTATCGCGGCCGCAGATGCACCAGCCAGCGCCGAGCACTCATCGCGATCGCCGCCGCGTGTGTTTTGCAAACCAAATTGCGGGTGGGCGGGCGGGGCGGGGCGTCTGCGCGAGCAGTGGAGTCGACAACTTCGAGTTGAACTTTGGTGGGTGCTCCTTTCTATAAGAAAAATAAAATATCCCCCCTCCGGATTTGTCCGCCCCCTTTTCGTAATCCAATGTGCATGCGACTCTGCCCCCATCGTCCATCCTCACTATGAATTCGCGCCATCCCAGCCGCGCTGGTATCGACACTCCACCGTCGTTAAAACATATGCGCGCGCACTCGTTGATCAAACATCATCAGTTGTATCCCTTGCAGAAGAATGAAATGAAGCGCGCGCGTCGTCGCGCGCGCCGGCATCCCTCAAAAACCTTCGGTGTCGGAAAGGTTGCAGCGGCGAGTGTCCAAAACGCTTTTAAAAAATAAAAAATGGTTTCGCAACCAGGATAGATGCATGTGTGTATGAGTTTACGTGTGTATATATATATACACACAACGCGCGCGCGCCCCTGCGAACTCTGAAGAAAACCGTCGGTGTCTCATCCGAAAAATATTACCAAACGGGCATCGCGAGCGCGCGTCGAAATCGTTCGAACGCGTTTGCGCGCGTGCCGTCGCGAGAACCCTTTGAAAACAATGGTGCGACCTGGACGCGCGCGCGTCGTCGCGCGCGCATGCCGAAATCCTTCGGCTTCGTAACATCAGGGTGATATATATATATATATAGAAAGATATCTAAAAACTATATGTTTTCGTTTTTTATATAAAAATATACGTTTTTTATAAACAAAAAAAACTCGCGCGCTCTTGAATTTCTGAAGGAAAAAAAAAAAAAAACAGATGCCCCGACATCTCCATGGAATTCTGCCAAGCAGGCCCCTGGCGCCGCGCGCCGACATCACTCGCGCGCCGTTGCGCGCGTGCTGGAGGGGGGGAGTGCGCGATCCGTGTCACATGCAACCTCGCGGGCCACTCTCGCGCGTCGGCCGCGCGCGCATGTCGAACTCTTTCCGGCGCCTTCATCGCCGACGCGAGGGCGCCGTCATCGTCGTCGGCGCGACCAGCATCGGCGCCCGCGCTGGCCGCGCCATCGTCGGCGCGAACATCGTCGCCGGCATCGCCGCATTCATCGGCGCCAAACTAGCTGGCCGCTGCGCGCGCTCTAGGGTTGGCGCGACCGCAGGGGCGCGCCAGCCGACGCCAAGCATTCATCGCAATCGCCGCCGCATGGGTTTCGCAGACCAAGTTGCGGGCGGGTGGGTGGTATGTTTGCGGGAGGAGTGGGGGCGG